AGAACAGGCAGATTGAGGACGTATACTGCTGAGGGGAGCAGCAGGCCAGTCAGGAGAGGTCTGCCGCACCATGTGGGTGACCTCCAGGGTCTTGGATGGGACTCGCACTGAAATGGCTTTAGCTTCTTAGTGCTGTGCTTTATTAACCCACTGCGCCACCAGGGAGGTCCCGGCAAGAACACTTATAAGTGAATTGAACTCCCTGCAAGGAGGGTAAGGGTGGTTTTTAGGGGTCCCTGGATCACATATTGACAACCTCTGTGTGAAATGACTCTCCCCAAATTATATGTCTACTAATTAGTGGAACCACTACTTGAAACTCAGTCCTATTGACTCCTAATCATTTTTCTATAGAATGACAAAATGAACCATATGGATATGAAATAGAATGATAACTTATAGTAAAACCAAATAGCAAATTTTTTCCAGATACTGAGTTTAGAATGTAAGGAGTGGTTATCAGTCATATGTGATCATTTTAAGCTCATCTAGTCCAAATCATAAAGATAGTTGAAATAGATGTGCTTAAAACCTTGAAGAGTTGGATATTCCTGGCAATCTGAGGACACTTGATTGACATCCATTCCACAGACAGAAAACAACAAAACGTAACTACTTCACCTGTGGTGAAGGGATTTCACCATGGCATCTTAAAACTAGGTGGAACTGGAGAGGTAATCTAGTCCGTATCTTACCCCAGAGAGGAGCCACCTCTCTGAACAGATGTGTAGATGTGGATGTAGACCAATCAAAGTGCTTAACGCCACCTCCTGCCTCCACTCAGCCATCCTCTCATTCCCATGGAACCTCACTCATTTACCCAGCCCTCTTAGAGAAACAGGGACAGATTTATTTCTTCTTCTGTGGCATATATTTTTTCAATAATGTAATAGTTTATTTTTACATCATGTTGTGCATTTTTCCATCTCAGTTGCAATCCCCTTGGGCTTCCCATCACCAAATCACCCATGTGCCATCACCATAGTCCCATGCACTTCCGTCCTCTGCTGTTTTTGATCCCATTCCCCACTCTACCCCCACAAAATGTCTCTGGTATATAGCTGTTTATTATTATTATTATTTTCTCGCCCGCTCTATTATACTCCTGCTATGAGTGAAATCACCTGGTATTTTTCCTTTTCTTCCTGGCTTATTTCACTAAGCATGATCTTTTTCAGCTCTATCCATGTTGCTGCAAAAGGCATGTGTTTATTTGTTTTGGTTGCTGAGTAATATTCCATTGTGTTACCAAGTCCCTTTGTAAGTGTTCTTTTTTGGCCTGAATTACTCAGTTTCTTCAAATTTTTTTTGTCTGGACCCACTCCAAGGCTTTTTTGGTTGTTTGTTTCAGGGCTTTTGTTTTCTATTTTACTGGCAGGCCAGCTGTGGTCTTTACTAATCTTGCCGGACCTTGCTTCCAGTGTCACCTCCTCCATGCAGTGCTCCTGGGTTGCCCTCTGCCTCACTAGTAGAATCTTTCTTTTATTTCAGGCATTCATGCTCTCAAGTGTCATTTAATTCCCAGAACAATGTTCTGAAGAGGGAACCATCAGCAGTCCCACCTTATTTTAAGGCATTATACTTTGAGGATTTTTATTAATTTATACAGCCATATAATTACCACCCCAGTTAAGATAGAGCAAGTCTTTGAGTAACATCATCTAGTTCAATGTCATTTCCTTATCATAATGATAGGGGCGGGGGAGTAGATTGGGCGGGAATGGATTCCTAGCCAAGGCCAGGTCTGTGTGGAGTCTATACTTTCCCCCCATGTCTGGGTTTTCTCCTAGTACTCCGGTTTCCTCTCACAGCCCATAGATGTGCATGCTAGGTTCACTGGCATGTCTAAGTTTTCCCAGTGTGAGTGTGTGTGTGTGTGTGTGTGTATGTGTGTATCCTTTGATGGAAGGGTATCTTGTCCAGGATGGGCTTCTGTCTTGCCCTCTGAGCTGGCAAGAGAAACTGGCTACTTGTGACCAACCTAGAACAAGCAGGTGGGAAAATGAATGAATACAAATGATTGTTTAACATTAAAGTATTTGGGAACTTGATTTAGAACTTTGGTGATGTTTTGTTTTGTTTTTAAAGACTTTTTTATTTATGCATATACAAACTGGGGTACAGGCCAGATGTGTGGGGGTGAAAGGATTCATCAGAGAGAGTGGGGAGCAGAACAGGCAGATGGACTCACATACACTGCTGAGGGGAGCAGCAGGTGAGACAGGAGAGATCTGCTGTGCGGTGTGGGTCAGCTCCCTGGCTGGGGATCCAACTCGTGCTACAGTGGCTGTAGATAGATTCATAGTACTGTGCTTTGTGCCACCATGGAGGGCCCTGGTGGTGTTTTGTGACAAGAAATATGCCATAGGAATTTTACTCTTGCTTATATTAGTCAGCCAATGGTAAAATTGATTTCATTAGACATCTATTGGCTTAGAGTCAAAGCTTTCAAGCACCTTCTGGAGCAGTAAAGGAAGGACCTGTTTAGGGCTTCTGTATAGGAGTTCGCTCACCCTTAGGATATTCAAAACAAAAGAGAGAATAATGCGTTGAATATACAGAATATGCAAAGTTTATCTTACAACTTCAGATGCCATATTGCAAACCCATAAAGAAAATTTCCCTTTTTGCTGTTGTGTATGTGATCTTGAAAGATAAAACAATTTTGCGCATATTATTTTTTAACCTGAATGCTCCTTTTAACAAGATGTGTTGAACATCTTTTGATAGCAGTTATATCATTTTATAACGTAACTTTTATGTCTGCATAGTATTCCATTAAATGAGTGTTTCATAATTTATTAAATAATGTCCTTTTGTCAGATATCTAGTTTTATATAGCAGCTCCTTCTCCTGGGATGATTTTTAAAGTTTTCTATTATACTATTTTAGTTGTTTTCCTTATCTGATACTTAGTCCATCTTGCTATGTCCTATAAGTAAGTGCTAGACCTGTCCTTGATAATGCTTACTCTATAATTCCTTCTTAAGTGACCAGCTTCATTTCATTATAAACTCTTTGGATCTCATCTCTCTTCTTCTGGGAACACGGGGTCCTTCTTCCCAGCTGCCTACTGAATGCTTTCCTTGCGACTCAAGCTCCAGTGTCAATAGCTGAGTTCTTACTTGCTTTCTAAAGTCTGCTTCTCTTTCTCTTTTTTCATCCTTGTTTCAGTGAGTGGGCTTGCTAGCCTTCCAGCCACTCAGGATACAGCCCTCAGAACCCTCTTTGCCTCCTCTGCTCCCTCCTCTCACACACCCAATCAATTAAGTGCTGTTGGTTCCACTCCAAATGTCTCTCCTCCTCTCCATTTCCACCATTATGATCCCCGCTTTTAGGTCCTGATGTAACAGGGTGGTCCCTAGGAAAAAGGGAAGTTCCAGGTTCCCTGCCCCACCCAGAAGAAGGAGAGAAGAGAAGGGAGAAGAAGGAAATGAAGCAGGATGGAGAAGGAGGAAACCTGAGGAAGCCACATGGAGCAGCAAGTATGTAATAAAGAAACCGGGCTGGTTTCCTGGCCCTGGATTAGTTAAGGCAGATGTGGGTGAGAGACCTGTAGGGAGTGACTATGGCAGTGTTTATATTGATTTTGATGTTGCTCTTTTCCTCCCAGATTTGTCTGGCCATTTCTGACCCTTTTCCATGGGTCCCAGCCAGAAGGTGCTTTAGTCTAGTGGCAGCTTTTAGGCCTTGCTTTGGGCCAATCCCTTTTGGGTTGACTTTTGCCCACAAGGGGTTGGGTCACTTCAGGTGTTTGATTTAGAAGTTATATTCTTTGTGTTCCGTACTGTATATTCACTGTATTAAAGTCCCTTTCCATTAAAGTTTTATATGTTTTGTCTTGTTGCGGCGGATGGCAGAACCCACTTAGAACAGGCAGGTTTTGGGGGCTTCAGGGTTGTCCTGAAACAGATTTGGTGTCCTATAACAGATTCTGTCCTCTTAACAGATTTGGGGTGCCCTATAACACTGAGACCTCCTCACTGCTGTTCCAGCCCTTCATCTTGTCCTCCTTTCATCCCGGGCCTCCCTCTCCTGCTTGAGAACACTGGCTGTTTACAGAAGTCTCCACACACCAGGGCGGCGCTCAAGACCTCCTCTCCACCCTGCCCTCCACCTTCTTGCTTACTTCCATCAGTCACAACTGTCAGGGGGCACATTCCAGCTTCCGAGATAAGATGCACACTCACTCTCTACCCTGTCTTTAGTCTGTGTGGCTGGTTCCTTGCTTACATGGTAGGTGTTTACACCATTACAAACGAGGGGGGAAAGAGCTCTGCTACCTTTTAGCAGGTTGGCAAGGTCTCACCACACCTCAAAGGCTGCTGTGCATTAAGAGCCCCCCAGACAGGCCTCAGTGAGGAAGGAGCTGGCTGTGAGGAAGGCTGAAATCTCTTTACACTTCTTCACAGCCGAGAAGATTGGATCTGTGCTGGCAAGGAACCAGGTCTCCATTCCTGTGTAAAACTCTAACGTTGTACAGTGCAGACGTCTCCCGGGCCTGGAGGCCATTGCGGAATTTTCCCCATTCCAGAGAAAGGCAGACTGAGTTCCAGGAGGGCCGAGTTCTGAGCCCGACTCCCCTCCCCAAAAAAGGGGCAGCCGACCTGTGATTAGAAGAGCGAGAGGCTGTTAGGATAGCGCCTCCTGATTGGAGCAGACAGAGTCAGACAAGCTTGGGGGCTGCCGATTGGCCCAGCCTGGTCAGGCGCTGTTGGGCTGTTGTAAATGTAAATAGCTCCGTGACCGGCAGTAACCCCTGAGAGGGGGTGGAGAGAGAGGCTCTTCCTCTCCATTCATGTCTGCCACCAACCAGGCCCAGACAAGCAGGCCCTCTAACAGGGGGGCAGGGCAGGACGAGGCTGAAGGTTATATCTCGCGCCTCTTAGCTCGAGTTGAAAGTTAAACACCCACTCGCAGGTCTGAGCTAGGCCTGGCTGCTGCTGCTTTTCTGCACTCAGCTCTGTTCTCTGTGAGGGTGGAGGTATTGGAGGGTGCTGGGAGAGTAGTTTTATAGGGTAAAATTAATGGTTGTCGTGGGTGTGCCACACGGAGAGGGGAGCCTGTCCTCGCCTGTTCTGGTCATAGAATCCAGCTGTGGAAGCAGCCGAATACCAGAATACCAGAGCCATTCCTGCTGCTCAGCTTCTCCTGATGCTAGTCTTGTTATCAGAGATACAGCTTCCCCCACCCCCTGTCCCGGGGCAGGCAAGTCTGTGGAGCGGCTTTCTTGAAAGTAGGGAGGAAACAAGGAAAGGGTGGCCACACATTAAGAATAAAGGATGACCCCCCTCCTGGTCTCAGGGCTGTAAACTCACTTGGTTCCTTGCGCCCCACGTGCTCATCGTCCTGCCAGTGAGGGGCCCTTCCCCACCTCACCTTGGGACCCATGATCTGTTTACCCTTCCCTGCTCAGCTCAGCCCCACCTCTGCTGCTGGCCGGGCCTAGGGGCGCCCTCCTCCCTCTCTCTCTCTCCCTGTACCTCCTTGTCCCCTTTGCACTTACTAGGCAGGGAGATGCATGAAGGTGCAGACAGAAGAGAGTCACCATCTCATGGGTGAAGGGGGTATCAGTGTGGTCATGACCTAGCCCCTCCCCCTGGCTGAGGGTAAACTCAATAGAGAAGCTAAAAAACAACAGTAAAGGATGACCCTCACGTGTTGCTGGTGCGAAAGCAAAATAGCATGGCCGTTGTGGAAAACAGCTTGATCGTTGCACAAATGTCAAAGTTTGAACTGACGTATTGTCCAGCAACTCTACCTCTAGGTATCTGTCCAAATGAGTGGACATAGGAACTTAGTTTACACACAGGAAACATATGTAGCAACAGTATTCACAATAGCCAACATGTTAATGGTGGTCAACAGAGAAACAGCAAAGCCAGTTGTGGTATACAGTATACACACAGTGGGATATTACTCAGTAATAAAAAAGTACAGGTCTCCCTCCTGATACATGCTACGTGTGTATATGAATCTCGAAAGTATTTTGCAAAGAGAAGGAAGCTAGACATAGAAAGCAAGTCATATTATTATAGGATGCCATTTCTGTAAAAACCCTGGATAGATAAAGTCTTAGGGGCTCTGATCACCATTTGTTGGTGATCAGAGCCCGGAAGGAGGGGAGAAGGAGGTGGCCATTTCATGAATACAGCCTTCTTTTGGGGTGATGAGGGGTTTTGGAAAGAGATGGAGGTGGTGATGGCACAATATTAAATGGGAGTGTAAGTACCAGTGATGTATGTTAGCTTAAAATGATTACTTTTATGTGAATTATACTTCAATGAAGTAGATACACATACATAATATATATGAGATATATATGTATATATTCACCCCTTGTTCTTTTAGTATGGAGGGCTGAATCCTTACTGTTGTGCAGAACTCAGAACTCTAAGAAAGAAATGGGAAGGGGCTGCAGGGAAAGCAAGGCTGTGCCCTCTGCAGCCTTTCACTTTCACTTTCCTCTCTTTGCTCATTTTCTCTTGCTGGTCACAAAGTTGTTTAAAACTGGCATGGCCTGGCTACTCACTGCTCCCATGGGACATGGCCAGGAGGGAGCGGCCCCTCTGACCCCTCCAGCTGCTTTTAGTCTTCGCGGGAGGCTGGGTGAGTCAGCACAGCACACACTTCCCTTTGTGAGCTGCCTGTGGCCTGGGTGTAGCCAGCTGGGCAGGGCCTGGTGGGGGAGGGGCAGGCTTGGGTCCCAAAAAGGGCAGGCTCTGCTGCCAGCAACCCCAGTATAGAACCTCAGCACCCCGGAGCCTGCAATTAAGGCCTGAGGCATTTGTCCCAAAGTCTGTGTACAAGAATCCGTACTTTGCCTGCAACTCAGAAAGTTAACTAGAGGTCACAGAACATAACTCCCACTCTCTCTGACATTTCATTTGATCAAGGAGACAGAACTTAAAAGCAGACATGTGATTGTTGAAATATTTTATCTAGTGCAGCAGAAGACATTCCTAAAAGTCTTGTGCCCCTCAGGACCTCCAAACATGACAAGATGGGAGCATGTCATCTGGAAAAGTCTAGAGGAAGTGTTAGCCATGCCCCGTGGCCTGAGAGGAGACCAACGCTCAGGTGTGACCGAGAGTTAAAATGGGTCACAAGAAGAGGGAGGTGGACGCTCCGGGGACAGAGAACCAGAAGACGCAGCTGCAGGTTGACTCTTCACCAATTGAACAACTGAATCCATCTGGGCCGGTCTCTGAATTCACCGGGAACATCCTGAAGTAGGTGACAGTTGCACGCTCTGGGCTTATCCAGTCTGTCATCTGTTCCACACCCAGTAAAGAGAGGAGGTTCGCCATTGTTCTAGAGCACAATCGCTGTCTCACAGCTACTCTCCTTCCAAGTGAACTCAGTTACCTCATCAGCAACGGTGAGGTGAAAAGAGCAGTAGCTTCGGAGCCAGTGAGATAACGCACCAGCAAGTGCCAGCGAGCTTAGCCCGTGCCCGGCTGACGGAACACTGTCTTCAGCTTGACTCCAGGTTCTGCTGGGCTCAGAAACTTGGATTTCCCACACCACCAGGATGTTAGATTTGTGTTAGTGCATTGGCCTCCACACATTTAACCATACAGAACCCAGAATGTGAGTTTTCCCAAGGAACGTAGTCTAGTAAGACAATGACCCTAGGCTCTCTGTTTCTAGCTGTTGCCCTACTCACGTGGTCTGGGTCTGTTCGTTGTAGTGTGAAAGTAGAGACCACCTCATGAAAGAATGGAGAGGAAATGGGGTTCTTCCTTTGATCATGTTTGGGTTTGAATCTCAGCTACACTTAATGGCAAACACATTAAAACAGAGGTCCTTTTCTCTCATACTCACTTTGAGTTACTACATATATCATAAAATTACCCTTCCGAGTGTAAGGGTCAAATGTTTTTAGTGTATTCAGAGTTTTGCAGCCATCACCACCATCTATTGTTTGGATATTTTCATCACACTGCCCCCCCTCCCCCCGCCCCTGGCAAAATCCCATGGGGACTGGCAGTCGCTCTCCAATTTGCTTTCTGACTCTAGATACGCCTGTTCTGGACATGTACGTAGTCACAGAATATGTGGTCTTTTGTGCTGGACTTCTTCCCCTTAGGATGTTTTCATAGTCCGCCCATGTGGTTGAGGTATCAGTACGTTATTTTCTTTAGTGGTTGAGTAATATTCCATTATATGGTAATACCACATTGTGTTTCATTACCTCTTAATGAACATTTTGGCTCTTTCTATGTTTTGGCTAATCTATAGTATATAAAGCACTTGAGCATATTCATGTATATGGTGTTTTGTGGACCTGTGTTTTCAGTTCTCCTGGGTATAGACCTAGGAATAGAATTGCTGGGTTATATGGTAATTCCATCTAACTTTTTGGGGGACTGCCAACTATTTTCTGAAGCAGCTACATGATTTTAGATCCGCACAATGTAAGAGGAGTTCAATTCCTCTTTCTTCTCACCAACAACTGTCTTGGATTATAGCCATCATAGTGAGTGTGAAGCGGTCTTTGTGTGTTTCTGATTTGCATTTCCTTGATTGCTAATAATTTTAACCTATTTTCATGTGCTTATTGCTCACTTGTGTTCTTGTGTATCCTCAAAGTCTATTTAAATAAATACTTTGCCTATTTTTAAATTGAGTTATCTTTTTATTAGTTTGTAAGAGTTTCTTTTATGTTGTGGCTATCAATCTCTTACCTCATAAATGATTTCCAAAGATTTTCTCTACCTTGTGGTTTTTTAGTTTCTTGATATTTTTGAAGCATTTTTTTTTTAATTTTTAAAAATTTTAAAGCAATTTTTAATTTTGATGCTGTTAAAACCATTTTTTTCTTTTGATGTCAGGCAATCTAGGATTAGATTGTTATAGCAGTTTATACCTTTGTTCTCTCCTAAGAGTTTTAATTTTAGCTATTTCACAGAGTTAATATTTGTCTACGATGCTTGGTCATGAGCCATGGCTTTTCTTGGCTTTTGCACATGGCTACCCACTTGTCCCAGCACCATTGTTGAGTTACCTAGACACCTTTGTCAACATCTGGGCTTATTGTTATACTCTGAATTCTATTCAGTGGATCAGTATGTCTGTCATATGTCAGTATCACACTGTCTCAATTACTGACTCTGAAGTAATTTCTTAAATCAGTTGGGCTCCCCAATTGAGCTTTTTTCAAGTTCATGAAGACTATTTTGGCTTCCTTAAATTTCCATGAGTTTTAAGGATTAGCTTACAATTTGTTTTTGAAAAAATAATTGGAATTTTGATGAGGACCATATGTATCTAGGTCAATTTGGGGAATACTACTAACTCACCAATGTTAAATCTTCCAATCCATAATAAGCAATGAAATTTCTTTCCATTTACTTAGTCTTTCTTTTAATAACATTTTATAGTTTATGTCATTCTTAGGCATGTGTCTTTGTTGTGAGATTTATTCCTACATATTTTTATTATTGTTATAAATGTAATTCTTTGCAGATTATTCATTGCTAGTTTATAGAAATTCAATTGGTTTTTGCTTATTGGTCTTATAATCTTGTGACCTTTCTAAATATATTAACAATCATTTGTGTGGATTTATATGTCATCTGCATATGAAATAGTTTTATTTCTCTCATTATAGATGTCTTTGCTTCTTTTTCTGCACAGGGGACATTTTTGGGAACTACCCCGGTTTTTTTCCTTTAGAGAAAAGGACAAAACCTGGTGGCTATCTTTTCCACTGTTATCATACTTTTTATTCCTTTGCCTATGGTTAAATCTCGGTTCTTAAAAAGAATCTTATTTCCTTCATATCTTCTTACACACCCTGTCAAAAAATAATAGTTTGCTGTTTTGCTCTCAAGGAGCTGTATTTTAACTCACCTTCACAAGTAAGTTCATTACTTATTCCCTTTCTCAGTCTTAAATACAACTGAAAATATTGATCAGACTCAAGAGCTTTCTCCCTTCTTCCAGCGTACATTTGCGATAGGAGTAGAAAACAGCCCCATGTCAAAATAACAACCATATAAGACACAATTGCTATGGAGAAAACATAGCAATATTTGATACGAGGGAGGCCAGCCAAGGGAAGAAAAGAAGAGTGAGGAAAAATTGTTTACATTGGATGACCGTTAACAGGAAACAAAGCAGGAACTTGGAAAGAACAGGGAAGTCAGAGAACAACTGAAAAAGTTGCCCAGCAGAACATTTCAAACAAAAAAGGAGTGGGAAGCCAGATATGAAGGACACTACCACCCAGTAAAGCTACCAAGGCTGGCCAAGGTATCCGTAGGACTACAGGGTTGAATTTGGATGCTCAAATTACTGAGTCTTGCTTTTTGTCCCAGGTGAAGGCAACCTTAGATCAGAAATTGAGGGAATTGTTTTGGGGGAGTCGAGAAGCCCAGGTGGGCCAGGTCGTTTCCAGGTGGTGCATGTAGAAGATGGTGCTACAACCAGCTGTCCCTTTTCCACCTGAGGATTCTCTGGAAAAGCAATAAAAGCTAGAGCCTTGGCTACCCTGAGACCCGAGGCCCATCTAACCCAGGAGTTCACCAGCCTTTCCTAGGATTGTTTTCCCTTTTCTTCCTGCTGTTGTCAGTCAGCATTTTTGGGAAGCCACGTCAGCCCCTGAAGGGATACACTTAGGAATGTCCTGGACTGTGCTGCCGCCAGGTAAAGAACCTCTTTCCCTGTGTGCCTCTCCTGCTGCTCTCCTCTCTCTGTCTCGGGTCCATGTGACCACGGGATACACAGGAGACCTGGCATTTCTCCAGGGTCAAGATGCCAGCTGGTGTGAATGCGTTTGACCTCATGGCAGCAGACTCCTGGTTTCCTGCTGCCAGGACTCCCAGTTTAACCTAAAGTTACCCTTCGGAAGGGCAGGGCCTGTTACTGGGGCATGAGTCAACCACTGTAACATCTCCTCCCTTTTTACTCTTAAAGGTATAGGAACAGGACATGGCTAAGGCAGGGGACCATAAAAGCCGAGTCCCAGGAGACTTTGAATCACAACCAAAAAAACTGACACACTGAGTCAGATTCACTTCACTTTTATTATGAACAAACACAATCTCAGATCAGTACAACTAGCTTCAGAGTTGATATTAATAGAAATTATTCCAAAATTATTCTTAGGTCACAAATAACTACTGTCCCACATAAAAAGGGGAAAATCCCACCCAGTCAAGGGAAAGGTATCCTGTGTATGTTTCCATGGCAACGAGTTTATGCATTCTCAAATTCTGCATGGCTACTTATCCACCAGTCATCCAATGAATTCAATCTCTTGGAGAGAAGAACCACATGTACGGATAGCCACTGAGACACTTGGTTCATGGTGGACACAATTCTCGGTGGACACAGCTACTATAAAAATACTCAGGACTTATGAGAATTCCTCTGCTGAAGGATCCCAAAATGCTTTATAAAAAGCATTAGTCACGCCTCAAAACTGCCCTTTGAGGTAGGTCAGTATTATTATCCCCATTTTAACAGAAGGAAAACTGAGGCACATTATAGTTAAGTGACTTGCCGAGGGTCATGTAGCAAGTCAGTGACACAGTGGTAGGAGAGGCCCTGGCCGTTAGCCACCCACTAACATTGACAACTTGCTTTCTTGAACCTTTCATCCTGACCCATTTGATCGACATGTACAGAGAATACACTCAGGATACCAGCAAATCAAGGAGAAAAAGTTTCCATTTTAAATGCTACAGCCATCTTTTAATCTAAAAAAAAAATTATAAACCAAATACATTCAAATTACTTTCACCCTCCATCCATTGTGGGCACTGAATAAAAAACAGCCCTAAGAAAAGTTTTCAAAATGAAGCCCAGAAGGGAATCCTACCAAAGCTATCCCAGTAATTCTCCAGCCAGGCCCCCTGTCTACCAGCCACGTCTGCAGGCTCTCAGGTGCGAAGCACTCCACGGGGGTGGGGGTGGGGGGAGCGAGGAGGAGATGAGGGCAGGCTCATATGCAACACTGATTAGAAAAGATGTAAGGCACCCAAAGAAGTGGTCAGCACACCCACGAAGCGAGGACTGTTGTTAGAAATTCAGAATAGATCAGCTCTGAGTTTCTGGAGCATTCACCTGTCATTTGAATTTATCTTTAGAATCTTGAAAAAAAAGTGTTCCTCAATCGACAGACATCCCCCACCCCCAACTAACACATCCACACCACACTGGGCCCCTCAGCCTGAAGATCCCCTTCAACCTTGTGCGGGAGTCATGGTATGGATCAGATCCACGGAACACCATTAGGACAGAAAGATAAAGTTGTTTTTGATCATAAATTATAAAGCAGGCATCTGATGACTCGTGGAATTAAAACCACCCAACAGACATCTCCAAGGGGTAGGCACACAGGTCAGCAGATCGAAACTACAGCCTTCCCCCATTAGATTCTGTTCTAGCAAGAGGGCATAGCTCACTGGCCAGGAATGACTTTCGTCCAGGCTAATCCTCTATCTGCTCCATTACTAAAGGAGGGCCCTGCTCCCTTCCACCATCAGGCTGGACAGCAGACACAGCATGTGACGCCAGGCATTTCCCACAGAAATAAAGCCAGGCTTCTGGACTGACAAGGAGGTACAGCAACGCAACGGGTTAGTGTTCTCCAAAGGCCAAGGGTGTTTTCAGACCTCTTCTACACTACTGTCTGCCCTAAGCTGTGGTGCAGGGAATGCCGGTTTGTTTGCTGAACAGAGATGCTATTCAGCAATGTTCACGGCACCTCAGATCCTAAGTCTCAGCCAAAGCTTTGCAGTACGTCCTGGTTCTAGGGAATGGGGCCTCCTACTGAGTGAGGCACTTAGAACCTGCCTTTGCTTCTTGTGCTTCCCCGCAACGACTGGGCTCCCCTTGACTGCTACCGACACTGCACTGTCAGCTGCAAGCACTGACTCAGACTGGGCAAGAAGCTTACTGAGCAAGCAGGAGGCATTCAGCATGCTCTCCGGTTCTGGCCCAGACAAAGGAAGCTGAAAACAAACCCTCTTTTGCTCCATGACTGACTCACTGGCACAGCGCAAGGATTTGGTGTGGCTAGGCCTCGTGAGAATGTCTCTCCGAGCCAAGGATGCTGCTCGTAGGGTTTGCCAGCCTTGTCTTGAGTCATCAGTGTGGCAGGGGAGCCTAGGGTATAGGTGGAGACCCAGAAGGCCAGTGCAAGGGGCAGCCAGCTCAGCTAAGTAGCTCAGCGACCTGAGCATTCTGCCTGGACAGCCTTCACCCCCACAGGACACGGGGAGGCCACCTGTCCAGAGGAAGAAGCAAACACCAGGGGAGAGAATCAATAGGAGCCATGGTCAGGGGAGAGTCAGGAGTCAACAGTCAGCGTCGTCAAGAGAGTCCCCGTCCCCTGCCCACCGGCAGCCCATGCTTTCGGCTAGATGTTAACACGGAAGGATGAGCGAAAGGGCTGAAACCACGGGCAGAAGCTCTTCCTTACCCCAAGGGGAAACTGGAATTAATGAAGGACTCTGACATCTAACCTGCTCGTATAACCTGTTCACCTATCAGGGCACCCAGTTACTAGGCTGTGACCTCTGGCGCCCCGGCAGAGTGCCCAGAGCCCCATCTGGAAGGCCATCGCTCAGGAACTGCCCACAGATGCTGTCCTCAATCTCTCCATCTCTGTCAGCAGTGAGGGGAAAGTAGACAACCTGCCTAGCTCCTTCTCACCTTCCATTTCTTCAAGCCCTACACGTCCGAGGAAAATACTCTGAAGTACTTTAATAGTCCCAACTAAGTATATGTGTCTGTACATTGATGTTTGACCCAGCTCTAAAAACTCCTCCTTTTTTGGAAAGTTGCTATGTTCACCACCACACCACCAATGTAGTTCTTTCTTGTCTGGAAATGCTGCAACCACCTTCTTACTAGGTTACTAGGAGGGGAACTCACTGGCTTCCCACAGATGGCAGAGGAGAAAGATGCTGCTGGATTCACCAATTCTGGAAAAAACCCAACCTCAAGACTTCTTGTTATGTGAAGTAAGAAATCTTCCTGTCATTTAAAAACAAAAAAACAGGCCTTCCCAACATAGACCAATTTTGCTTCAAACAATACTACTTCTTTATCCCCAGCCTAAATTATATTGGGACATTGAGACTTGTTTTTTTGTTTCAGCCCTGCTGAGCTCCATGGCCATTCCTTACTCAGTGAAGAAAGAAAGGAAGTGTGGGGGGCTGGTTGTGAGGGTGGGAGGGCTTTTTTTGGGGGGGGGGCGGGTAGTGAGGAGGGGCTTTAAGTCCTTGTCATGCAGGCAGTCGTGTGTCTGATCACAGTGGGAGGTTTCTGCCTTGTTTCCCACCTCACCCCATCCTTACTTACCAATCAAACCATGCATGCCAACTCTCTCCCCTGGCAATTTACCTGTTTAAAAGCTTCATTCCAAATGGTTATTTTTCCAACCCATTTGGCAAGAGCCTGGGGTGAAGGTAATGAACAGGGGCCTTCCCAAAAGATTTGTCATTTCTCTAGCTTGAGTCACCTACCTTAAAGCTCAGAACAGCTCAAGGGAAGAGTTATCTGGAGCAAGACTCACTTGCTTGGGACTACAGAAAGGTTGTCTAAGCTTTGGAAGCCGGACACCCACCAATGACTGACTAGCTACTTGCCCGGGAGGCAGTGAGGGGGAAGAGAAAGAAAGGTGATAGGAATAAAACAAAGAGAAGGAAAATGGGACTAAGAGAGAGAAGAAGAATATCAGCTTAGCATGATGAAGGCAGAGTTGTTGGCTTTCAATACTTTTGCATTTTAAAAGAATACTGTACTGGATAGGTTAACATCATCTTTAGCATCCTGGTAGCATTATTCAGTAGTTAATAAACAGAACATTAAAACTCTGCCTGGCTGGCTTTCAGAAAAGAACCCTGAAGGATCCAAAACTCAGCCACTTTTGAAGATTCCATCTCCAGTTCTCTTAATCCTGGCCAAGACGGCGGCCTTCGATACCTTCTTCCGGTCATAAGCCAGACCGATGGCAGCCATGCAGTCGATGAAGAATGTGGTGAAGTTGATGTGCCAGCGGTACTCACTGGCGGAGTAGTCATAGGGGAAGGTGTGGTGGTAGTTATGGAAGCCCTCTCCTGAAACAAAAGCAAGGAGAACGAACATCATGAAGCTACCCTGTGGCTTGTTGTCTTCCTGCTGTCCACGCAGGTGACCCAGCGGAGTCCCTGGGGCCAAGGAGAAACTTCTGTTGTTGAATGAAGCCAGTTTCTTCTACGCTGAGCCCAAGAGATTTCAGAGTCATCTTCAGAAATGACTGGGGAAACCCTGGTCACCCCTCGCTTTCTGGGAGTCTTTGTGGGAAGAGAACCAGCAGTTGCAGAGGATAAGATGTCTAAAGAGAAACTGTTACTGCTTGGGAATGGATTTTAGATTTGACAATTCCAGCATCCTAAAGGCTGTGTATGTGCATTTGTTAGGGTGGGAGAGCAGATCATCTAGATAGAACAGGAGCTTCTGCTGTGTTTCCTGGAGCTCCGGACCAACAGTCAAAAGGCAGAAGAAAGGAAGCCCGCCAGGGGCCTGACTTTCTCAGCCACTATCAACTCAGAATGCAGTGCTCTGGCTTCTAATTCTTTACGCTTTCATCCAGTGTGGGGACATGCTGATAAAGCAGAAGCTCTCTGAGGGGATAAGAACATGTGTCCATCTTCTCTCTAACCCCTGAGATTCTGAGGTAAACAATGCATTCACCAGACAGAGGGAAAGCAAAGAAGTTCCACAGTCAGGGTAAATTCTGTAATCGGAAAAGCCCTGGAACTCCACAGACAGCGAGTTCTCTGATCCTTGGCAGGAGGTTTCTTTCTGAACCACAGTCAGTAACAACAACGATGACCCTTAGGAGGCTGGGGTAAAGCTGGGCCAAAATAGCTAGTAATGACTAATAAAAGAGCAAGTTGAGTCCTTTGAAGATAAAAGCACCCCAGCAGAGAGTGATGGTATTAATAACAAGCAGGCTAAGGAAGTCCTACAGAGCAAATGACACCATCCAGGGCATCTCCAGGTATGCCCTCTCCCTGTGACACCTGATTATCCATAGTGTGAACTGAGTAGGAGGGCAGGATCACCCCAAGGCTAAAGGTACTGAGAGGATTACTAATTTTCATAAATAGCTTTGCAGCTAGGCTCTGTATAACCTGACCAGGCCTATACTTAATCAGATTTAAAACTGAATCAGACACACCCAGAGCCAAAGAAGAAAAAGGGGAGGGCCAGAGGGTGGAAGGACAAGACTTTGCAACTGGGACAGTGAGAGACAGCCCATGAAAGGCTCAAGGGAGGAGGTCAACCTTGGCAGAGGAGATGAGCATGTGACTGTAGGGGAGGTAATTCAATAAGACAAAGAGTAGAAAGGCAGGAAACCAAACTGAAGGAAACAAAGAGTGGAGATGAATGAGGAGGGCAGCAGGAATGGAGAATGGATGACTGGGACCAAGTGTGGTAGAGGCAGCCGCCCTGGACTGATGTCATAAAGGGGCTGGAGCTGGGGAAGCTCTCTAGGTCCACTTACAGGACAGAACTCATTCTAGAAACTTCCATCTCTCTGAAAATCTCAGATGTCTATAGCCTAGGTGAGTTATTTCAAGCATCACTCAGGTAAGAACATGGGCAATGTAAGAAGATGCCTGAGAGGGAGAGAGATGTCTGAGTCCCGAGTTAGAGAGATAGGGTACAAATGCCCAGGGCACAGAAGTCAGGCCTGTCAGGGTTGAGGCTACAGAGAAAAAAAAAGTGAGTGCTAGACCGAGGTGCAGACATAAGCAGACATACAAACTGCAGCCCACCCAGGAATCCTGGATGACCACAGCTCTGATCACTGGTGAGAAAGAAGAGGCCACTACATCTACTTAGGAAAATTTAGTCAAGGTCTACACTGCGTTGAAAAGAAAGACAATAAATGAATGGAGAAGATGGTAAGACCCTGTTGTCTTAAGATTCTGGCTACTGACACTGAATGAGGACAAACAGGTGACAGTAAAAGACCTTCGCAGTACCAGGCTTCGACATCCTTCACATTGGCATCACCAGGCAACACATCCTGGCACAGACTTCAAATATAGCCTATCTGAGTAGTGTGCAGATAAAAAGCTGACTGAACCAAACCTTAGCAAGTCAGTCTACATCTTATATTACATCTTTCAATATGAAACACTAGGCTTATCGGCCACCAAGATGACTTACTTCTGTATCCCCTGACCTGGACTGCAGGTCAGTCCAGAGGTCACTGGGAAAAGGAAAACGCAGAGGGGCTTATTGCGCGTAGCAGCTGGGGATTGTCTCAGAACCTGGACTCAGAGGCGTTGTTATTTCTGAACTGTCCTTTTTCAACTGACTTACCCACAGCTCCCAGTGAAACCAGGATGTTCTCTCGGGGGTTGATGTTCTTGTCATAAGGCCGATAGCCGTACATATGGGCAGCGCTGTTCACCAGCCAGGTGGCGTTAAGCACGACGGCGTAACGCAAGAAAGTGGCCACGTACAAGCTGTTCAGAAAAGTCTCGTTCCAGAAATAGCAGGGCACCAGCGTGGGCAGAATGAAGCACATCAGCAGGACTGCGGATTTGTAGTACCTGTGAGAGGTCGCAGGCTGAGTCCCGGGGGCAGGGCTCCCAGACCGGCCTCACTTGCCCCTGGATGTCTCCTCAACCTTATGAACGCAGCGTGGCAGCGGATGGCCAGACACCATGGGGTGGGACGCTCTTGTGGCTTTGTGTTACTATCTCACTTCTTAGAGCTAGTGAGAGGTTAGACTTTTCGAGGATTCCCTACCACTAGGAACTATTGGAACAAGGCCTGGAAGGCCTGCTCCTGATTCTTAAATCCTTTGTTTTTGTTTTTTTTTAATGATAGCATTAATGCCATGTTGGGGAAACTGGGACGGTCCAGGTCATCAACTAATTAAGCTGGGCTCTCCTTCCACAGTTTTCCCATCCTGCTCTGGGCGCCTTTCTCCTTCCTGTTAGTGTCTTTGCAGTGCGTTGAGTCTTGCCCCCCCAGTCCTGCTCGCCACCCTCTCAGCCTTGCTCTTCGTTGCCTTCAGAGGCACATTGCATGTCCTTGACCGCCTGCAGGTCTCTGTCTCTCCGGAAGCCCTTGGCCCATTTTTCTCTCTCGAATGCAGACCGGGCCATTGCCATTCCAAGGGAGCTGATTGCCTACATCTCTTCATCGGCCAACTCATTGGTATTCCCTGCGCCCAACTCCTTTCCATTCCTGCCACCGCTTTGCTGGCAGAGATCCTGTTACTTCCTAACTCCTGGTCCTGACTCTCATCTCTTTGGCTGGATTCATGGTTCCTTTGACCTGCCCCAAGAGTGATCTTTCCAAATCACAGCTCCAACCACATCACAGTCCTACTCAGAAAACTCCAGTTTCCTGTTGTCTATTGAATTAAACCCAAGTGTACTTTTAAGAACAGCATCAGGCTCCCTTTCTGGTCTTCTTTCCTACCACACCCTATACTTAAGCAAAGGGACTCTATTGCTGGAACATGCTTCAGCTCATCAGTTCTTTCTGTTCGCACTGCCCCTCCCCATACACACCTGTGAACATCTCCATCCACTGGTAGACGAAGGCTGCTTTCTTCACAAACCCTTCCCTGTCGTCATTTCCCCTCCACGGGGGAATGTGCCTCTCATCTTATGGAAAGTATTTTGCCTTGTTAATCATAAATTTGCCACCCCCATAAGCTAGGAATTATTCAAGGTAAGAGCTCTGACACATTCATCTTTGTATCCATGACTATCCTAGGTCAACAAACATGTTGAATTTAATTGGTTTAAATAAGATAGCTAACAAAGAATTCTTTGTAACCGTGAACCTCTAGGCTGTTAAAAGATGAGGTTCTAAGTTATGATTTTGAATATGCAGAATGTCTTATTTAGCTTATATTTTAAATCACTGGAGAAAATTCCTCAACACCAGTCCTCCCCCTCACCCCATTCCATCATCGCTACTTCACTTACCGCCTCTGGAACATCACCAGCTTCTCGGCTTTTAGGTCAGACAAATCCAGCAAACCACCCTTCTCTTTGACAGCTGGGTGCTTGCGTACAAGTAGCCAACCCACATGGGAAAAGAAAAAGCCACGCCGGGAATTATGAGGATCAGCATCTGTTTCTGAAAACTTGTGGTGTACACGGTGATCTCGGGCCCACTCAAAAACGTCATTCTGGGGGAACAGAGAATAACAACATAGGTCTGAGGAGAGACACCTTCTTAGATTGGAGGAATCCAAAGGACAGTCAGCAAGATCCCATGGTTTTTTGTCCAACTTCAAAAAAAAAACACCAGGGGGTCAGAGCTACGAAGGAAGAGTCATGGAGTTGCCACTAAAACCTAAGTGGAAAAGTCCCAGGAGCACCAGAATAGAACTAACTGCTTCTTGGAGGTTATATGGTGGGGAGGATGGCGGCGAATCACACAGAACTTAGATAGTCTCATTAGAAAAGCATGATGCAGGGCCTGGTGGCGCAAAGGGTTAAAGCACAGCACTGTGAAGCTATTGTAGCCACTGCAGCATGAGTTTGATCCCCAGCCAGGGTGGCAACCCACATGGCAGGCCACTCCTGACCCACCCACTGCTCCCCTCAGCAGTATAGTTCAGTAGATCCACCTGTTCTACTCCCCACCCTGTCTCTGGTGAATCCTCTCACCACCTCCCCACACTTCTGGCCAATACCCCAGTTGTGTATGTATAAATAAATCTTTAAAGAAAAGCAAAGCATAATGCAATTCTTCAAGTAAGAAACTTTCAGCCCTCACAGGCTATCTGAATGCCTTGGCACGGAGAATACAAAGTCCTGTGCCCTGGGGTCTAGCTGGGATATGCATCCAGCAGGAGCTCCAGCTGATGTCTTGGCAAAAGTTAGCTTGGACACCTCAACAAGACCAAGCATGTAAATGGAGATCTTGACCACAGTTCCAGATGACTCATCCTACCCCTGAAACATGTGCCAATATCTCTTCCTTCCCTTTATTCTACAGGACATCAGGAATCTTCAAGGTATAAAGTGCTACGGCAGAGGTGATGATGCAACTATGGTGCAACTATGGTAAGTACTTGGAATACTGACATGAAGAAGAGGACCAACTTGACTGCCCACTCTCTTCTCTGGCCCAAGATGAACCCAACTATGAGCTCCCCTTCCCAATTCCCAATGTATCTCTGCTACATACTTTTTGCCTCAACAGACCTCAAAATTTGACTTAGCCTGGTTAGCCCAAGATAAGGCTACAATGTTTATCTACCTAACCTGTCAGTGACAAGTTTCCTCATCTTTATTTATTTTTTTAAAGATGTATTTATTTATTTACACATGCAAAGAACTGAGGTATAGGCCAGAGGTACATGGGCGGGGGCGTGTGTGTACGAAGATTCCCCAGAGACAGAGTGGGAGCAGAACAGGTGGATCTACTGAAATACACTGCTGAGGGAGCAGGCCAGAGAGGAGAGGTCTGCTGTGCCATGTGGGTCAGCTCCCTGGCCAGGGATCGAAGTCAGACTGGAGTGGTGATAGTGCTGAGACTTAACCCATAGGCCATGAGGCGGGCCTCCAGTTTCCTCCTCTTTAAAATAGCCATAATAAAGCTCCTGCCTCCTAAATTGCTGTCTTTAATGAGGTCATCACGATCAAGTGCTCAGAACAGTGCTCTGTGTATGTGTCTGGATAATGGATGTCTGCCCGGGAAACTGAAGTTAATTCCTGGCTGATGCACTGTGGCTCCTGGGATGCAAGACCACAACAGCAAGATAATGTGATAACGGGAAGGGCTTCGGGATTTAAAATATCATATAAGAGAGTATTTCCTATATCCCTTTTCCAGTTACTCGGAAATAACCCCTTGCCTTATGAACTTTAGGGCCTGTACTTGAGTGGCAGTTAAGAGCAAAGCAAGTGTCTATGCAGCTGTCACTCCTCTTGGGCCCTGACCTCCTCCATTCTGCCCTGGATCCCTGACAGAGGGGAGCTGCGGAGGTGCCTTCTTACCTGGAATGCCATCGTGTTGGCCACGATCAAAAAGAGTCGCAGGGGCAGCCGAGCTTTGTAAGTTCGGTGACTCCACAGGCGATGAGCTCCCGCTGTTATGCCCAGGGCACTGATCAAATAGTAGAGAAACGCTGCAGGGGAGACAGTGTCAGCGATTAGACTCACAGTCGGGGGGCCTGCCACAGGGTGGTCTCATGTTAGAGTCTGTGTTTCCTTTGGCCTGGCCTGGGGGTGAGAATCTTGTTACACCCTGAATTCCAGGGATACCTGTTGAGAAATAGTGTCTCGCATCCTCTTGACCTGGGGATTGGAATAAGCTAAGGAGTTCCAGGAGCTTCAGACATGCAGGACAGAAAACACGACTCTCACCACCTAGCCACTTGCCTTTGCCAGTCTTGAGGGTATCATCCAGATGCTGGACCCTCACCTAACCTCTCCGGTCTGGTTTCAGGTCCACAGACTACTCCTGCCGAACTTAGAACCCCTACGCAAGGGGTAGGTAGGGCTGCCAGGATGGTCTAGGCACTGACCCGCACAAGGGACCCTGGGTTCTTGGGGGGCACTAAGGGGTCTAGAAATGTGTCCACTTACCAACAGATACAAAAGCCTTCCAATCTTTTAGCAGGCAGTGTGCCACCTGGGGGAAGTGGGGGGGGGCAGGTCTGCCCTTCAGGTAAGTCAGAGCTGCAGTACCTTAAGCTTTGCCAAGGACTTTACATTCTCTGATTCACCTAATACTTTTGGGAGCCACGTTCATTGTTCTTTACCACCTGTACTATATCTCCTGTGGGTTGACTCACTGAATGCCTTAAATGGGGTTTAATGCTTTGTTTGCAGTTGAAGAAAAGATGCTCAGGGAGTTAAGTGTTTATCTGTGGTCACACAGCAAGGAAAAAATGGAGCCATGACTCGAAACCAGGTTTTTCATATTCCAGCGACACCATCCGCCTTCCCAGATATGTACACAGTTCCTGTGTCTCTTCTTTGCCACTCCCTGTCAACCTTACTCCCTCTAGCTAATTCTAGGCCACAGTGGGATGAGGCTGTTGCTGGAGCACCCAACATTGTCTTGCCTCAACTTCCTGCAGGCCAGCAGGCTCGGGAGCTGCCAGACACCACCTCTAAGTGTGCAAAGGGCTGCTGGGTCCAGCGAGCTCCCTCTGGTCAGTAGCTCTAGGAGGCAGGGGCCTTGGAGGAGCAGTGACTATTGACAATGTTTCATTCCTAGGGAAACAGCTAGAAACAATAGCTCCTCAGTGGTCACAGAACTTGTTGCAGTTGGAGATACCACACATTGTAACAAATTGTCCTGTGTTCTTCTCTGGCCATAGAAACCAGTTTCCTAACTAGCCCCACCTCCCTGGCCCCCCCACTCCACCCCATTCCTAGTCTTCCTATGGGAGAGCCAAGGGTGCAGGCTGTCCCAAAGAAAGTTATGTCCACAGGCTGTCTGGGCCAGGATTAGGACCCCAAGTGAGTCACTGGCCTCAAGCCATGTTGTGCTATCTCCCGGGATGCTGTATCAGCCTGAGCCAGAGTTGCTAATCAGCATGAAGAAAATTGGCTTTTGAGCAGGAGGGCAGAATCACCCAGCACAGAAACAAGGAAGCTACTAGGCTTGTTTGGAGCCACAGATGCCTGCTACAAGTTTTCAGAAACTACCTGAGATCTGAGTATTAACAGGGAAATTGGGGAAAGAACCCAGTGACCCTTTCTTTCTTAAAAAAAAAAAAAAAAAAAAAAAAAAGTATCTGCTTAAAAGTACTGGGGAGCAAGAAGGTGAGAGGATTCACTAGAGACAGAGTGGGAAGCAGAACAGGCAGATAGACGAAGTTCACTGCTGAGGGGAGCAGTGAGAGGATTCACTAGAGACAGAGTGGGAAGCAGAACAGGCAGATAGACGAAGTTCACTGCTGAGGGGAGCAGTGGGCGAGACAGGAGAGGTCTGCTGCGCCATGTGGGTCAGCTCCCTGGCCGGGATCGAACTCAGGCAGCAGAGGTGATAGCGTGATAGTGGAGGCTTAATCCCTACACCGCCAGGATACCCCTATGGTACCCTGCTCACCCCGCGTCCTTTTGTAGACACCTCTCGGCCTGTCAAAGGGAAGGCCTATTGCTGGTGAGTCATCTTGTATTAATGTCCAAACTGATGGTTAAGCAACATCTCATGCTTTAGTCCTAAAAATATTTTGCCCTTGGGTCCTCAGAGACACCCCTTGAGCCCTACCCTACCCTAAGGGATCCTCCAAGACAAGCACAATGCTGGAATCAACAGTGGCTAAGGAAATACTGTCCGTAGGGATAGAACCAAAAACTGAAGCTAAGCTTCTAAACTCAGAAAGTGGGACCCCAATTCCTCTTGTTCCTTAAGATAGTTCTCTGATACTCCCATGATCTAGCTGGTCATGCCATGAACAAAGTCATCTATCACAGAGGTTCACCTACCTCAAAGAGAACTCACTTGGACACTCAGGGACAGGAGAGAAAAGTCACCCCAAGCGGCCTCTGCCTGCCCTGTTTCTCTGCCCAAGAGGCACTGCGCACCCCCTGGGAAGGGTACCCAAAGGTAGCAGGCACAATGTTGGACTGGGAATAGCAGTCCACTCCTGGCAATCACAGGCAAGGGAGAGGACCCAGGAGAGGCAAGCTGACCAAGCTTGGTTTCAGGAGGCCCACAAGGGAGGACTGGGGAGACTGGCTGGGGCTTGTGGTGATGAAATGACCTGTGAGGATTCCTGAATTGGGAAGAGGTGGACAGAAGACTCCATAGTGTCCTGGCGGGACCCTCACATTGCTCTTGATTCCTCTGGATGCAGTTAGGGTTCTGCTGAGTTGTTAGAGGAGCTCGAGAACAGATTCCCTAACGCTACCCCCCTTGCCCCCCCAGAGTCCCTCTTGGTCTGTGGATGAACATGTTTTGCACATGACCTGCCCTAGCAATGGCATACATGTAACCTAAGGAGCCTCCTTCCCAACTCTTACCATTTTCCTGTTTCTACCCAGAAATACTGAGATTCCCAGAGAAGGGACCTATGCAGTCACCTTTCACTGTAGGAATGAAAGGATTTCCCAGACAGAGCCCCAGAGGCTGGATTCCACCACCTGTAGACCTAAGCGATCCTGGGAGAACCAGCTAGCTTGGCCTACCAGCTCTCGCACCTGCCCCTCCTCCCCACCCCAGAGAGGACAGCTGTCAGCCAGCACCTCCACACTCAGCCCTGGAAGTCCCAACGTTGTTCCTAGAGAGGGAGTTCTGGTTCACCTACCTCAAAGAGAACTCACTTGGACACCCTGAGTCTTTCAAGCTCCCTGTTTTCCCCTTCCCATTTCCAGCTTACGGTGCAGGGGTGAAAATGGCCACAAAGCACATGGGTGTACTGGGGAAGGTCCTGCTGTCAGCCCAGCCCCATGGATCCCGAGAGCGCTGAGCTGAGGGCAGCTCAGAGACAAATGGAAAACCTTCTGCCTCCCTGAGACAGCCTAAGGCCGGGCTGCTCTCTTTCCTGGCCAGACCTGGCTGTTCCTGGCAAGGAGAAATGTCTTGGCACCAGGAGAGAGGGGAAGGAACAGGTTAAATGGGGACTGACACTTGGAACATCTCTTTAACCTTATTTCATTCAAGAACATGTTGTTGGGTGCACTTGTAACTTTCTTGAGATCTAGAAGGACTTACAGAGCCACACATTCATGGATCTTGGCTTATACAGGAACCTTCTTCATCTTTCTGTGTAACAAAGAAGTCTGGGGAGGCCAATGGGTCAGTGCTAAATCACAGTGTGGGTACCCTCTGCTCCCCTGCTGTTCTCTGCCTGAGCATTTTCTTTTTCTGGGCCACTGTGCTCAGTCTGTAGCCCCTCACGTCACTGGTGTAGTCTCCATTCCCATGCCTCAGGTAGGAGCCTGGATTCTTTTGTGGCTGCCAGGACATGCTGGCACAGTAGTGACTCAAACAGAAAAGCTTTCTCAGGGAAAGCTGGTTCTCTGGATCAGGTCTCCAGGTCTCCTCAACTTCAAAGCTCACAGCACACAGTCTCAGGTCTCCTTCCCCAACAGTCAAACTAAGAGACTCCCAGAATTCATTCGCCTGCATTCCAATCTCCCTAGATTCTGTTCTCAGCCCACCCAGCATTTCAGGGGATCAAAAAGACATGGCAGGACAACCTGGACCTGGAGAGGCAGGTTTCTGTATTCTCTGTAGGCTCCTGCTTTATTAACAATGGAGAGAGGCTGGGTCAGGAGAACAAGGAACCTCTTACCCCAGAGACAGGTGTAGAGCTTGCAGGAAGGGATCATGGTGATCCCGATCAGGGCTCCCAAGTGTAGCAGACCCATAAGGATGATGTTTCTCCAAACATATTCAAGCTTGGGCTTTGGACCATCTTGGTCCTTGTAGCTTGGGTCATAGATGTCATCTTTCATTTCAGGGCGAATGTCTTCTTCCAAGTACAGTGGAATTTTCTCCAACTTGCCTTCTCCATTCTGCAAGACTCTGGAGGGAGGCGCTGTGATGGTGGTGGTGGTAGTGTAGGAGCTAGAGATCTGAAAAGCAGAGGAAGCGGAAAGTCAGGAAAGAGAAGACACGTGGAGGTAGCAGGGGCCAGTAGCCTCGGGCTGGGGGAGGAGCTGAGTACAGACCCTGCTCCAGAGCCCAGGTTACAGAGAGCGAACTCTTTTCCAAAGAGAGAGGAGGAAGTTCAGGAACTGCGCAGATCGCAGATCGATTGAGCAGGGGCGTGAAACCTCAAGGTGAAGGGGCAACAGTCAGAAGGGTAAAACACTCGCACCCCTCCACACACACAAAGGAGAATCCGCAAGCACACACACATAAAGGTACCCACACCACCGAATTTCTCATCAAAGCCGAAGAAACGAAAGTTAGGGGAAATCACGTCCCCAAATTGCAATCCATATTTCCAAAGAATTAAAGGCAGTGCAACTAGCAAAAGATGGCTATGCCTTCCGCGAGGCTCTCAACTCTCCTTCCACCAACCCTCCCCTAGAAGCCCACCCAGCGCCGGCCACCCCGCGGTCTGGGGGCCATTGCTTGGAAGCTCACCTCCTCCTGCAGCAAGTGGGCCGGCATCTGGGCTCTCGGACGCCGGGATCACTTTCCCAGGACTGAGACTGCGGAGCGGAGTTCCGGGCAGTCGGCGCGGAGCGGACACTCGGCTCCGGAGTCCGCTTTTGCACGACGATCAGCTGCGCCGCACTCGGAACCTTTCTGGGTGCCTCGCGCTCTGGATCCGTGACCAGACCCAACACGCTCTGCCTGGATCTCCCCGGGCTAGGGATTTAAAGGCTAGGGCTGGCAGTGGGTGACCGTGTCCCGTATTTCCTGTGACCCCTTTTATTCGCTGCCAACAAGGGGCAAAGTGCGCAGAGTTGGCTCGCCGCGGGAGCCCCACATGGGCGGGAGGGGGAGGAGACAGAAGCCGTGGCGCGCAGGGGGCTGGAGACGCCAAAACTGGATGCTGCAGACACACCGCGGCTCGGCCGCCGCAGCCCCGGCCCCTGCCCCTGCCCCTGGGGAAATGCTAATGGTTCTGTAGACTCTGGCGCGTCATTGGCCGAAGGGAATTTGGTGCCACCTCGTCCTGCCGTTGCCATTGGCTCGGCGCAATCTGCTGTTCCCTCTGCCGCGAGCTCCGCGCTCCCCCTCCCCTCCCTTTCTCCTCGGCTTCTCTCCGACCGGCCGCTGGGCCTCTGCCCGGCACCCCGCGGCCTCGGAGGACTCGGGAGCTAGCTCTCCGGAAGAGGGAGCGGACCCGGCCCGGGAATGGGGGTGGGTACCAGGCCCGGACTGGCCCCCCGGCACTTCGCGAATGGGTGGGTACCGGGGAAGTTTCACAGGATACCGTGAGGAAGCCACGGGGGCGACCACTACGCGCAACTCCATCCCGCCTGCCCACTCCAGAGCCACGTGGGAGGGAGACGTGGCTGCAGCCGTGGGGTCGGGAGGAGAGGGGCCGCCGCAGCACCGCCTCCCTCCCCGCCGAGCGTGGGGGGCTCCCGCCGCCGCGGAACAATGGCTCGGCCCCGCCCACCGGCTCGCCTACCCGACTCCACTGAAGTCGCCGGGGCGGGCGGGCGAACACGCAGGAGCCACCTATGTGTGGACCTGCACGCGCGCACGAGGTGCTGCCTCTGGGCACGCTCCGCAGAGGACGTCGGCCACCGGCCGCCCGCGGGCGATCCCACCCCTGTGCGGGTGCCCCCAGATGGCGTACGGGATGTTTTGAGAGTCTTCAGATGGTCGGGGTTTAAGTTGGGACTCTTCTTGGAAAAGGCAGGAAGCACAGACGTGTGCTTTCTCCCAGAAGTTGGGAAAGCACTTGTATGAATAAGTGTATCTAACAGGCATTGACTGATTACTGCAAGCCAGCTCACGAGGAGTTCTTGGAGGAGGGAAGTGAGGTGTGGACGGATTAAACAACGTGGCTGTGGTCAGGACAGCCAGTGCGAGCTGCAGCTAGGAGTTGAGCCCAGAAAAGACTATCCAGGCCCTTAATCCATGCTCGGAACCGGGGTTCCCGAGATTCTCCTAGCTCACAAACTGTTAACCCACCACCCTGGATCTTTTCTGGCCCTGTGGGAATCTTCCCAAAAGAGTAAGCTCAGAAACTGGCAGGCTGTGCCTTTTCCCGGCCTTCTTCCAAGCTTAAGCTCCCCTCCCCATACTATCCCAGGATCTCCTGGCAAGTGTAGAAAATAAGGAATTTCTTGCCCAAGGTTGGCTTGTCAGGAAGATGCAATGGGGATGCCCACGAGGAACTCCCTTGTTGGTCGCTGGTCTCAGGGTCCCGGTCTCTGGGCACCTTCATTCCCGCTGTACCTCCCTGTCCAGAGTGAAAACTCTGAATGAAACTAGATGTCTTCAGATAGGGGTAGCTTGTCTGATCATGCTTCAAAGCACTGAGCCTGTGAACAATTAAGTATGTGCATGCTGCTCCTCTCCGGGCTCTCTGCAATGCCTGCTTTATACCTCTGCCAGCATTAGGGTTACTCAAGGGAGGGGGTTCAGAATGTCTTTGGGGCTGTACTCTTAATTATGACTGAAGATGACTGTACCACCTTGCCCAGTTTTCTTTAACTACCTGAGTATATTTGATCCTGGTTTTCTCCAGACTTCTTCAAGTCTTCAAGAACTTCATCAACAAAATAATCGTGGTTCCCTCAGAAACTACCTTCTCATTTAGAGTCATAGATGTTAATGCTGGAATTACTAAGTGTTGGCAATATGAGTTAGGCCAGGTATTTTGTTACTCATTTTCTGCCAGAGTAAAAAAAGTTAAAAAAAGTAAAAACAAACATTTTGGTCTTTCTACCAAGATCAAAATGTAGAATCAGAGTGTTGAGTTGCTAAAGATAAGATTTCCCTATGGGGAACTTCTGGGTTAGGTATAGAATTTCAGGGAGAAATGGCCAGAGCCATTTCATTGTTGATAACCATGATAGAAAAGTGACTGTTGCCCCAGCTTGGGCTTCCTCCCTGAAGTTCATCTGCCATATTGCATGGCTGGTGTGTCACCCCTACTTTAGTAGTCTTAGTAGTTTCCCCCCAAATTATGCCTGATTGGTAGAAATAATATGGGGAACATATGAGTTTTATGTCAAGTTTTAGATAAGTGTCAAATTATAAGTATGTGATTAGTATTTGTATATGAGTTTATATATTGAGATGGTGGGTATTTTAGTAATTGAAGAATGAAATGTAAAGTGTGCTGGAAAGATGGAGATTGGAGCTATAAATGTCCGTGGAATTTTTTAACTCAGAGAGCAAGCAGAAACAGACCCTTGTTAGAAGCGCCATAAGGTGCCAATAGCAAGAAGCCACAGATAATAGTCTTCTTGTTTATTCAGCACTTCTTGAGTGTTCCTGAATCTGGTGCTTATAGGCAAGGAACTGTTTCAGGACAGAGTCACATATGCAAATCCATGCTTGGAAAATTCTCTGGGTATCCCTATTACTCTGGGTATCCTGGTACTGATAACCTGGAAATCCTGAAGTCCTCTAATTCAACACAGGCCAGAGCCAGGGACCATAAGACACCCAGAAGAGCATTTGCATGCAACAGTTTGCCAGAACTATTTATAATTGTCCCTCCATCATTCCCTTGGGAAATTACCACTGCTTTTAACACGAACCTGATGAGAACATAATTAACATAATTTTAATTGAAAGATACAATGTTTGTGTCTATTTCAGCCACCACTCCATTCTCCTTTATTAATATAAGACATTTTAAGACACACTGGGAAAAGGGGGGGAAAAAAACTACCTCAAATGAATCACCTAGGTGTATCTTTATTTTTTCCCTACTTCCCCTAATTTATCCTTTGCCCCTAGCTCTCCTAATTTATTCTTTTCCCCTAATTCCTTTCAAGCAGAGATCAGTACTCCTGAGAATCTGGTCACACTGTGACTCCAGGGACAGAGGTGAAACCAACATATTGACTTGGAATTCAAGCTTGTTTCTTGGTCAAGAGTCCCTAATGTAACAAAACAAACAAATTATTCCAACGGTTATGACAACAAAATGTTGTATATGTCATTATATCCATCATAGCCCTTTATATATCAAGGGCTCATAAAAACTGATAAATTCAACTGAATCTTAAAATTACAAAACAGGAACCGAATAGGTGCTTCATAGATGAAGACCTGTAGATGGCAAATGCACATGCTAAATTTGCTAATTATTCAATAAAAATTAACAATGACAGTTAATTCCTGCCAAAGATTAGAAAAATTCAGTATTGGGGAAGGGAAGATCAACTTTCCCTTAAGTTATTGGTGGGAGATAAATGGATTCACACACATAGTTACCACAACATGATATTCAAGATCATGTTACCAAACTTAATATACAAAAACTAAACTTGCTTTTTGCGGCCAACACCAATAAAAATATTGTGTGGGAAGCATTTCTAATGACATGGGGGAAAATATTCAGGCTAGAATGTTAACAAAGAAGAACAAAAGCTATATTTATGTCATCTCAACTACGTAAAATGAGTAACATATTTTACATCCCAAATATGTAAAAATCATGTAGAAGGAAGGAAAAAAAACAGCTCCTGGTTCTGACATTTATTGATACACCTGCTAACCTTGGGCAGTTTTCATTATTCTGTGAGCTTCAGTTTCTTTATTGTAAACTGGAGAAAATAATATTTGCTTTGCAAAGTTGTTGGGGATAATAAATAATATATTAAGGTGATTAATACACTCTTGGACACATAGTAAGTTACAATAATTATTTCATTTACCTTCAGGCTCCTTCATTTTAATATTCAAAGCGCTCCATGATTTCACCATGAACTTCCTCTTCCAGGCTCTTTCTGCCTACCTGACCCGTGTAACTTACACCTTTGTCAAACTAACTCTCACTGATTTCTAGATGTGCTCCATCTTCCACACTTTTTTCTTTCCCTTACTGCTGCCTGCTAAAATATCATTTTCTCCAAGACCTAATTCAAGTCACCCCTTTCTGAAAACCTACCTGATCATCTTCACCACTACTGGGATTCTTCCTCTCTCATTCTCTCTGTCTTTAGAGTTTAGTCTATCACTTATGGTACTTCTTTCACAAATATAAGATTAGTTTTCTGCTTATATGCATGTATCTTATCTCTGCTATAGAACACATGTTCCTTGAGACAGGGACCATACTACATTCTCATCTGCACTATGACACTGAGTATATGTAACCTTGGGCTCCAGTCTGCTGGCTGCTAAGGGTAAAGGTAGTAGTTGAGTGTTGTGACAGAAGTGATGTGATGTGACCGAAGAAAATACTAAGAGGGCTTAGACTGTTGAAAATACTAAGGTGGGGAAAGGGGCCTCTCAGATTCAGATAAGAAATCTCTTAAAAAGCTGAAATAGGCCCTCCCTGGTGGCGCAGCGGGTTAAAGCACAGCACTGAGAATCTAAAGCCGCTTCTGCATGAGTTCGATTCCCGCCTGCCACGGAGGAGACCACATGGCGAGGCAGACCTCTCCTGACCCGCCCGCTGCTCCCCTCAGCAGTGTACTTCGTCAGTCGTCCTGTTCTGTTCCCCACTCTGTCTCTGGTGAAGCCTCTCGCCGCCCCTGAGCCTCTGGCCTGTACCCCAGTTCTGTATGCACAAATAAGTAAATCTTAAAAAAGCTGAAATAGAAGGAAACCTCCCTAACTTGATAAATCTACAAAAACCCTGCAGCTACTATTTATTGTACCTAATGGTAAAATACTAAAATCTTTTTTGTAAATGACCAACTACATCTGCTCTTACCATAATTATTCAATATTGAGCTAAAATTTTGTACTAGAAAAGGTACTAGTAGAATAGGTGAAAACAGAGACAAAGGACATAAAGAGAGGAGAAATAGAGTAAAGTTGGTATTATTTACACAAGACATAAGCGGGCATGTTGAAAACCTTATGGAATTCCCAAAAACCAAAATTGGTGACTTTCCAAAGGTCAAGGATACCAGTCAATATAAAAAGTCCATTCTATATGGT